GGAAGGAACCACGTGATATGGCAGTAAAATAAATAGGGACTAGTCTGTAAATTTATGTTTGAGAAAACAAAACGGTAAGAGTAAAACTTTTGAAACTGTGGGTAAAAATTAAAAAAAATTCAAAATTAACCCAAATGATGTAAAATTATATTATATACATAAAAATATCAGTATTAGTGCTCAAATAATTAATTTGGCATACTAATTTCCTCAATTTACATAATAAGAAACACTTAATCTTTTTTTAATAAATAGTGTTACAACCGATTATGCAAATAACTTCAAAATTCTTCTAACAGCGAACATTTTGACTCCTTTTAATTCTTATGTTTGGTTGATATATTCAGAATTATTCTCGATTTACGTGTATTTTTTGTGAGAAAAAATACTATAACGAATTACGAACTATGATTCAAACCATGACACAAATTCTTAAACCAAACGTGCATCTCTCAAGAGTGCATATTCTAACTCCCCTAGACCCCTATTTAACGCTAGAAGATAGAATCCTAAAATTGAAAGCTACCCTTTTATTTTTAACAATTAAAAATAAATTAATTAGGTCACTTCGAGTTTTTGAGGAAGTGATGGGCGTGCGACACAACGAAAATTCATGTGTGGCGCTGGTTTTAGGTTAGTAGAAGGGCATAGAAAAATCTCCACCTCCCTTTTTTTTGCTTTTTCTTCAAAAGTTAAATATCCGTTTTAGAAAAAATTCAATTTTCCTTAAATAGAACTTTTTAAATTTGAATTTAGTAAACTACATATAAAAGACCTGACACCAAATTATAAAAGTATATTTAATATAATGTTATAATTAATGTGTTAATTATAAATTTAATATTTAAGTGTAAAAAAAATTCTCCAATGCAATGCTATTTATTGTGCTAAATTTCTCATATGTTATACTTTGTGGTAAATTTTCTACCAAATATAGCATATAAGAAATTTAATATTTGATTACTATTGGTTAAAATGTTTATTTTTTTTTATGTAATCATTGCAACTTTTATATTTTTTAATTATTTAAAAGTAAAAGTTTATTTTTACAACTTTCAAAGTTTAATAATTATAGAAAAAATAGATTTAGAATTTTAAATAACATTATGTATTGGAATAAAAATAAAAATAATATATTATATCACACATTTTTATTCTAAATATACAATTAGCATTAACATTTAAATTAAAAAAGATCTAACATTATATATTTTTTAGACATCAATTCTAATAATCTCCCACTTCCCCACATGCAGTTGAGACATATTACAATTGTGACTCCTTGTGATGGCGTGCATAATGTGGTCTTACCACACATTGTTTTTGAATTCTAACTTATTTAAATAATCATATTATTTAAAAAATTCAAAAAATTCATAATTAATTATTTGGGGTCTTCTAAAATTAATCACATTGAGTTTAGAGTTTGTGAGATAATTTAAAATACATCAATTCTAAATCAAGAAATCAATCCAACTTATTATAAGTATTTTATAGTATTTCAAGCATGACCTAGGAAACTACGAGCCTATAATTTCAAGCTCTAATAAACTTTTATCATTAATTAAACTCTTTAATGAATATATAAATTTTATTACTTCCATAGTTACTACGCTAAAAACTTAGAGTTGCACTTTTGATATTATAGTAATATTTACTCAAAGAATTTGAATCGCCCATTGATATAATGCGTTACATATAGATCAATCATGTATAAATAGTTCATAATTAAACTAGGTCATGGATATGTTACTTCTTGAATTACATCATTCTCATTAAGTACAATTGATTTTCTAATTAACAATAAATTTATGATCTTATAAAAAATAAAGCAATATTACTGTTCAAGACCAAATCAATGATTATGGGAACTATTTATCTACGGACTTCTTTACGAAGCAATGGATTTCATCTTGTATGTTAATATTTCCAACTATATACTTCTTTATCTTCCAAGATGCAAGAAATGAGATTTGATTAATTGTGAATCTTTACCAAGCAAGTCAATAAACATAACGTCATAAACAAAAATCTATTAATCTCTAAGAATTAAAATCGTTCCATTATATCTAAACGGAAATTATCAGAGATTCAAATTTAATCTTATGTAATTGCACTATATAAATACCTTCATTCCAATGACTCTTGGTTAGAAGTCTTTATAAGACCATCCCCTCATAATGAAAATAAACTGTACTAGTAATAATAAATTAAAAATCTTAACTTTAATTATTTGTTACAAACTATTAAGATTATTATACTTAAATGGTTCTCTTCTATATAACACTTATATTCAATATTTAAAGTCACATATATAATTAAGGAACTTTATGATATTTATAAAGTATCAAATATACATGAATGTTATTGTATGATGAAAAACAACTTTATTTACTTATAGCAATAAAAGATGAAGAAGACATGAGACGGTATCCCTATACATATGTAGTTAGGAGTCTATTGTATGCCCTTTTATTTACAAGCCTTGACTTGTGCTATGAGCGGTCAATTCTTATCAATCAAACACATGAATCAAAGGGTGTCAATAAAAAATGTTCTCAAATATATTATAAGAATGAGAAATTGTAGGTTGGTGTATCGGGTGGGGCATTTGATTTCTACTGGATATATAGATTCTGATTTTCAATCAGATAGACTCTCAAAAGTCAACATTAGGATTAGAGTTTACTATTGTTGGAGGGTCTGTGGTTTGGAGAAGCATAAAGAAGGGTTGTATTGCTGATTCGATCATGGAGGCGGCTATGGACGAGCCAATTAAGCTCTATTATGTTAACACAAGTTGACAACCAACACAATCTGCAAATCTTCAACTAAATCGGGCTAAATATGGTAACAAATAAAATAAATTGTAATCCGATAAAATGGAAACACTATGAAATTTAGTAACAAAGAATTACATTGATTTTGATACAAGGTTGCCAATAAAAAACCACAAATGCACGTAGGGCTTTTTATGTCACGTTGTACTAAAAAGCCTAACAATTATATATACTCTATTCTTTATATATTAAAAATTCTTTTTTAATATATTATTTATTTTTTTTCTTTTTATATTATTTTATTTTACATTATTATTTTATTTTATAAATGTTTATTTTATTTCTATTCAAATTTATATATAATTATAAGAGCTAAGGGCGTGGACCAATATTTATCAAAAGTTGAGATTAAAATATTAGCACGACGGATAGTTTCTAACTTCCAGATACTTGCACTTTGGCCTTTGGAGTTTAAGCTCTCTAATTTCCCTGAAGTAACTAATAGCTCTTTTAATAATAATCAAATTACTTATTCCAATTCTATTTATAAATGTAATATTACTTAGCACAAGAACTAAATCTCCATGAGTTCATATTTTTTTTACCTCAGTGGGGACTCAGATCTTTTGTCCAATTTTGATATCTCTATTAATGTCTAACCAATCATATCATGACACGTCATGTAAAAAGTGTGAACTGCTTTTTAACTAACTCTTTGTGCTTATCATGGGATGATGTCATATAATTTGATTGGTTAGACACCGTTTTGAACACTATACTGCACAGAAGACCTGGATCTAGTGGAGACTCAGATCTTCTGTACAATTTCATTGTCTCTATTAGTGCTAACCAATCATATCATGCCACGTCGTGTAAAAATATGAACTGCTTTTTAACTAACTCATTTGTGCTTATTATGGAATGGTGTGGTATGATTTGATTGGTTAGACACCATTCAAAACACTAAAAGATTGGAAAGAAGATCTGGATTCAATGGGAACTCAAATCTTCTGTCTAATTTTGGTGTCCCAATTGGTGCTAACCAATTACATCATACCACATCGTGTAAAAAATTTAGATTGCTTTTTAACTAACTCTTTTGTGCTTATCATTGGATATTGTGGTATAATTTGATTGGTAGACACCATTTACAACTCTAAAAATTGAACAGAAGATCAGGATTTGGTGGAGACTCAGATGATCATGGTCCAATTTTGGTGTCCCAATTGGTGTTAACCAATCATATTATGTCACGTAATATAAAAAATTTGAACTTATTTATAACTAACTCTTTCTTGCTTATTATGGTATGATATGATATGATTTTATTGGTTAGCAAGACACTGCTTAGAACACCAAAAATTGGACAGACGATTTGAATCCAGTGGGGACTCAGATCTTTTGTTCAGATATTGGTGTTTGAACCAATCACATCCTGCTATCGTGTAAAAATTTTGAACTGACTTTTAACTAATTTTTTTATGCTTTTCATGATCATGAGATGATCTAGTATCATTTGATTGGTTAGACATCGTTTAAAACACCACATATTAAACAGAATATCTGGATTCCCTAGTGGCGGCATTCTTTGTTCCTGTTGTTGGCCCTTTTTCCTGGTTGTTTTAATGAATTTCCATTAATAAAAAATTACAAATAAAACAAAAATTAGACAAAATTGTGGATAATTTCCGAAAAAAATGGGGCCATGTTACAAAATGTTCTCGTGAATTGATAAACGTTAAAGTTGTCAGTCCCAAAAATCTTCGTTCCTCTAGTTAGGGGATCTAATTGTTGAACCAAGAAAAGATTGTTAACATATTAGTAAACATTTTGGATGCTTTCTCACCAGTACTTTCGTGGATGATTCACTTTATTCCCAACAGGACCATCCTCAAATTGTGTTGACTTTTAGAATTTTAATAATGCAATGATTGGTTTATATATAATTTGACAACCGAATTAGTTTAACATGCATGCATTTATCCAAAATTATATATGCTTATCAGAAAGCATGTTCGAATGTGCCTATGATATAGCTAGCCTTTTTTCATATTAGTCTTTGACCCTTCTCGTGACACCCAATTATTCTATTTTATCCTTGGCCCCTATATATATTCTCTAAAATTGGCCAACTAAAACCCCAATTCATTAAACTCCAAAAGAGAATTCCATTTCCTCAAAAAAAAAAAAAAAAAAAAAAAAAAAAAAAAAGAAGAGAGAATTCCATTATTACTTGTTTAATAAGTTATTTGTAGATGTTGTTGGAAATGCAGAAGATAAGGAATATGACATGCATGGTGATCGTTCTCTGCTTTGCCGTTTTAGTTCCTTTTGTAGTGGCTGATTTACGTATTGGCTTCTACAATGCAAGTTGCCCACGAGCTGAACAGATTATACTCCAAGTTGTTCAAGAGCAATTCTCCAAGGACTCTTCCATTTCAGCAGCCTTGCTTCGCATGCACTTCCACGATTGCTTTGTAAAAGTAAGATTTCGTTTCTGAAATATTTCTCATACAAGTATCATTAATTATTTTCCTTTGATTTTCGTATGGGAGTATATAATATAGAAGTCAAGGCCGTGTTTGGACTTGATCTTATTTTTGTTTTTCACATTTTTTGAGAAAAAATGAAAACGTTTTTAAAACGACGTTTGACGCAATAAAGATAAAAAATAAAAATGAAAATAATTTTTTAATTTAGTATAAAATGAGACAAATAAAAAATGGCTTTTAGTCGTTTTTCATTTTTTTTTCGTTTTCTCCTCTCTCGAGCAGAGAGAGAGAGACATTAATAAATTTTTTTTATACTAAAAATAATCTCTTAGGGGATGTTTGGTTGGAGGATTCAAACCATGATTTGAATCATGGTTCATGGTTCGCTACAGTGTTTTCTCTCACAAAAAATATACGTAAATAAAAAATGGTTCTAATCACATGATTTTAATCCATGAACCAAACGTCTCCTTAATAAAACTACCAAAGACATTTTTAAAAATGAATTCTGTCTGAGATTAAAAATGTTTTCATTTTTATTTTCATACAAAAAAATAAAATTATTTTAAAACGAGTTTCAAACGCGCTCCAAATATCTATTTCAACTAATTTCTTCAAGTTATAGATTGCTCTCTACCTTTAAATATTAAAAATTTAATCTAAAATCTTTTTGAAATTTCATAAGTAATTATCCAATTCGTGATCCCATAATTATGCTTTACTTGAAACATGTACTCATTAGTACTATTCAGTGGGGACGTACGAACTTACAGTCATTAATCAATATTACACAAGCAAGCTATTTTAAAGCTTGCAAATCGGATTTCACAAGGCAAAATTCCTTTTTATTCTTAAGTTTTATAAATTATAGTGGAGAAACATGCCAAAGATAGTTTTCAAATTCAACTATCCAAAATATCATTATTCGAAGTAAATTCACTACATAACATTTTTACGATTTTAAATTCAGTAAATATATAGAATATGTTAAAATATTTGAAATAAATAACAGTAAAAAGATTGTTTACTATGTAAATTTTTTATTTATGACTATTTTTAACCATGTAAATTCTTATTTATGACTCATTAAAATTTTTTTACCAGGTAAATTTTTAATTTATTACTATTTACTTTAAATAATTTTAAGATCTATTATTTAAATTAATTATTTACAATAAATCCACCTCATTGTCCAATTTTCAAACATTAACGTGGCTGCATGTAAGCAATTTACATCTTAAACTATGCATTTTATTTTCTATAAAATTTAACTAATGTCTAATTGAACACAGTATATATACGCATGGATAAAAATGTCCATGACATCTCAACATTTTCATGATATTATTCATATTTTAAAGTCTCGACATGGATATAGAAGGTGAAAGATATTCTTCTCGGCATATCTATAAAATTTTTGCAATATCCAAAAATATCTATAAACTGTAAATATCCAATATATTTTTGAAAATGTCCAAAAACCTTGGGAATTTTTTTTCACAAAAATGATTTTTATAGCACATTTTTTATTTTTTCAATAAAATGTGACAACATGGTTTTAAAAAATGTAAATATTAAGACTTAATTAATTTTTTAAATATCTTAGTATATCCTCCACCACAGATTAATGTTGAAATATCATTACACATTTCTGAAGTCTATTCATCAAGTACGATAAACCAACAATATTCAATTTATGGGTTAATTGTGGAAAGAGATCAAAAAACATACATGTGGCACATGAACAACTACCTCCGAAATTCTTTGAGTAATATCATGGCACATGTATTGTTTAGATCAATATAGAACCTACCTAATGCTTTCCAACCTGCTAGAAATTCATTTTGGTAATGAAATCCCTTTAAGTCTGTATCTATTCTATTATGTTTGGTAGTTAATTTCTAATTAATACATTGAATTATTGTGTCTTGTTATAATGAGTACGTAAAATTATATAAGAATCATAACCCATATATAATTATAATATTTCTTACTGTACTATTTGACATAACTCTCATATTCCAATAAAAACGTATTATTTTTGTTTTTAAATTAGTTTAAATTAAGCACTATTGATTGTTTTAGTATTTTGTACAATTTCAATAAAAACAAAATTAAAGTTTATTTAAGGTATCCATTTTTTCCCGAAACATCATTTACGTCGACATTATCCACAAATCAAAATCTTGCAATCCCGTCGACATCGACATTTTCATCCATGAGTATACGTGGCATGAACAACTTGTACAAGAGTCTCATAATATTAGCATATATAATGTAATAAATGTGCACTATTGAGTAACAGGGCTGCGACGCATCAATTCTCATCGACTCAACCAAGAAGAAGCCCTCGGAAAAATCAGCAGGACCAAATGAGACAGTGAGAGGATTCGAGATCATCGACGAGGCCAAGAGAAGACTAGAAGCGGCTTGCCCTTCAACCGTCTCCTGCGCAGACATCATAACCGTAGCCACTCGAGATTCAGTAGCCATCGCCGGAGGACCAAACTATGCCGTTCCAACTGGCCGACGAGACGGACTTGTCTCAAACCCTAACGACGTCGGCTTGCCTGGTCCATCCTCCTCAGTGTCTGGCGCATTCCAAGCTTTTAAGGACAAAGGGCTAACCCTAGACGAAATGGTAACTCTTCTTGGCGCACATACAGTAGGATTTGCGCACTGCAGTTTCTTCGAGGAGCGGCTTTCAAATTTCCAAGGGACTGGAGCTGCTGATTCTTCTATGGATTCAGGATTGGTTTTGGAGCTGAAGAAAATATGTGGAACAGCTGGTTCCGATCAGAAGGTGTTTTTGGACCAGAATACATCTTTTGTGTTTGATAACGAGTACTATAATCAACTAAAGTTAAAAAAAGGGATTCTGCAGATTGATCAGGAACTTGCTTTGGATAGTACTACGGCCGGTTTGGTTTCTGGTTTCGGTGCGAGCCGGATCAGATTCGACAAGAGTTTTGCGAGTGCAATGGTTAGGATGGGGAGTATTGAAGTTCTTGTTGGAAGAGCTGGAGAAATTAGGAAGAATTGTAGAGCTTTCAATCCTCGCAAGAGAAAGAGTTCTTCTCGTACTCACAAGAGAAAAACCAGTTCTCGCACTGCTAATGATCGCAAGAAAAAGAATCCCCCACGTATGCTTAAGGGAGAGAATATTTGAAAAGCGTTTAACTTAATGTCTGCAATAAATTAATATAAGAAACATGATTTGCCGATACAAAGAATATGCATGTTGGAGAAATAATGTGATTGACTCCTGAATGTATAATTTCTGTTCTTTTTCACTTGTTCAAGGATTTCAAATTATAATGAAAGCAGAGTTGACTTCTTGTTTACCTTGCTTGCTTATCTATATCGATTTTGGTTAGCTCTCTGTTAGAAACTTGAGGGAGTTTTGAAGGAAATAAAATAATTTTGAGTTTGGAATGTTTGGTAAAATGAGCAAGTAGCAAAATAATGGGAATAGTAAAATTTATATTTTATTGAAAATCGAACAAGCAGCTCATGACAAACAGTACAAATGGAGCTCTTGTCTCTAGGGGTGTAAGAAATGAGTCCGAACCCGCCCGAACCGATCGACCCTACCCTACCCGAATATAGTGGAAATTTTTTTATTTTTTTATTTTTTCGGATGCATTAACCCTAAACCCGCACAGTGCGGGTTGGGTTCAGATTCAGTTGAACCCGAGGAAGCCGACTCGGCTGAATGTTTATTACCCTAGGGTTTGACATTAGTAGTCATCCCCTTATTTCCGTTCTCCTTCTTCTTCTTCTCATTCATTTCCTATTTTTTTCACTATTCTGCAATGAGTTGGAACCACTTTCTTAGAAGTTTCAGAGGGAGAAACAAACCCTTGGACTTAAAGAAGCTCATCTATAGGCAAATTTTCCACTAGAATTCTTATGAGAATGAGGAAAACTTGATGATTTTGTTGATTTTTAACCTAAAAGATTGAGTCTGAGGTACAATCTTTGATCTGCAACCTTTGTATTTTCTTTCAATCTTGTTATTCTAAATCTCATGGAATTCTAACTCTATGAAAAGCAAGTTGTGATTTTTGGATTTGAACTCAAAAGTGAGTTCTCTTTCTAATTTTTGTTGTAGTTTTAAGTATAATTTTCTTAACTTCAAGGTTTCTTATGTAAATTTGTATTCTAAGTTTACTTGGGTTTTTAATTTCTTGAATTACTTACCGTTAGAGAGAGTGTTAGCAAAATTATATATAAATAGACCTAGTTTTGATGTTTAGAAATTGATCGGGAGTTTAAGAATCTGAATTTTGTTTTCTATTTCAGTGATTATGTTGAGAGTTTTCTTCAATTTGTTATTGGTTCCAAGGCGTCTTTTGTGATCGAGGAGGAAGATGGGGCGGGATTGGAACCGGCGGTGATCAAAGCGGCCGAGGAGGTGGCTAAAGGGGCGAGTTGGAGGGATCTTTTGGAGCCTGGAGTCAAGCGTGCCTTGATTGATGAAGGGACGAAGATTTTTGAAAAGTTCACAATAAGACTTCTATTTTCCTTTGTATTAGTGATAACTGTGTGTGTAACCCGAGTAAATGGGCTGTTGGGCCTGGCATAAATGGCCCAATTTTTCACAATAAGGTTGCTGGCATAAATGGGCTGCTATTGGGTTTTCTTGATTTGGAGTAACCCGAGCCTACCCGAGGTCACCCGACAGGTTACGGGTTTGTGGGCTTATGAGGATGTTGCGGTCCAAAATTTTCCCAACCCGCACAGTGTGGCTCGGCCTAATTTTTCGGCCCAACTCGAGCTTACCCGGCCGAATTACACCTCTACTTGTCTCCGAAACTAGAATTAACTTCTAGCATGTGAGCTCACAAGGGCTAATGATCGGGTGCTTACAATGATTTTTTAGGACATATAAAGGGCCCGTTTAGTTTGCTGATTCGAGTTGAGATGTGACTTTATGTGAGAGTTTTTTACTGTAGTAAAAAAATTAGATGTAACTGTTTCTGAGAGCTTTTTACTGTAACAAAACTCGAATCGGTAAAATGAACGGGGCCAAAATATTGTATAACATAGCCTATAGATAGAGTTCTCAAGTCGATTGGCATTTGTCCGCTATATGCTTGCTTCTTTTTTGTTTTTTTTCGAGTCTTGAATTTCATTGTGATTGAATGAGTGATGAAGGCAGTAGCATCCAATTGGCTGTGTGAGTTGCTTCCTCCTTTGTGATTAAGCAAAATAGCTGGTGGAAAACATTGATTTTGATTGGATGAAATTGCTTGCAACTTGCTTTTGATTGATAAGTGACCAACCTGCTTATTTTCCACCGTATAACTCAAGCTTAGTTGTTTTGATTAGCAGGAAAAAAAAAAAAAAAAAAAAAAAAAAAAAAAAAAAAAAAAAAAGAAAAAACTCAAGCTTAGTTGTATTTCTGAATGATTGAGAACTTCGGGAATGTTCTCCACACTTCAACACTCTCTCCCTTCTTATTCTTATTCCTTTAATTTTAGAATATATACAAAGTACAGTATATACACTACAAGAAAATTGATCTTTCGTTGCTAAAATTTTTGCTACCAAAATTATTTTGGTAGCCAAAAAAAAAAAAAAAAAAAACTTCTTGCTAGTAAGATTTGGTTGCAGAATATTGACGTGTTTTTGCTACTAAGTTTGGTAGCTGAAAGTGATGATTCCGCTGCTAAAAAAATTTTTTGATGGCGGAAAATATTGTGTTAAACGAAAATGGCTCGACTGCAAGATAATTTGGCTACCAAAAAAACAATTTAGCAAATAGGTATGTTTTTGCTACCAAAACTTTGGTATAAAAAATATATGTTCAACTACTAAAAATCATCTGGTAGGAGGAAAAATGGTGCCAAACGAAAATGGCCTGGTGACAAGACAATTTGGCTACTAAAAAATTTTTGTAGCAAATAGGTATGTTTTTGCTACTAAAATTTTGGTCTTAAAAACATATATTCAGCTACCAAAAATCGTGGTGCCAAACAAAAATAAGTTAACGCCAAGACTTTTTAGCAACTAAAAGAAATTTAATAGCAAATGAGTATGTTTCAGCTACCAAAACTTTAGTATCAAAATCAAACATTCGGCTACCAAAGCATTTTGTAGACAAAAAATATGGCCCTAGACGAAATTGGTTTCGTGCCAAGGTCTTTCTGCTACCAAATTATTTTTGGTAGCAAAAGATGAATGTTTCTACTACCACAGGTTTAGTCTCAAAACAACATTTTGGGAGATTAAGGTCTCGTTCACTTCGCGAATTCGAGTTGAGATGTGACATTTTCTGAAAGCTTTTTACTGTAGCAGAAAAAGTTAGATGTGACATTTTCTGATAACTTTTTACTGTAGAAACCTAAAACTGAAAACTCGAATCGGTGAAATGAACAAGGCCTAAAATATTTGGTAGCTAATGACAACATATTGCTACCAAAATGGTTAGTGGCAAAACGTATTTAAAGTGTATTTAAGTGGCATTCAAAATAATCCAGTCAATTTTCGACTACCAAAAATAAATTTAGTAGCTAAATATAATGTTTTGCTACTATAATTTGGTAGCTGAATAAGACCTTGATCTCTAAAGTGTAGTTTTCAAAGTTTACTTATCATTTATTTATTTTTTATTTTTCATATCATGAATAAGGGAATATAACATATTTAATACTACTAAATAAAAATTATATACAAGTCAAATTGATTTGAATTTTTTAAATAAGCAATGTGCTTATATTTTGATAAATAAATTGCATTCTCACTACTGTACTGATACATCAGATTCGCGCTTATATTTTAATATTTCTAATTGGATCAATATTGACTTATTATTCACTGCCTACTTTGTTCTGGGATTATGCCCTTAGACTTTCTATGTATATTATGAACTTGGCACCTTTTAAGTCTATACCAAAAACGTTCATAGAGTTTTGTAATGATTGAAAACCTATTTTGAAGCACATTCGCATATAGAGGTGTCTGACTCACGTGCTGGAGCCTGAGACTAGAAAGTTGGAACCATGCTCAAAAATGTGTAGCAAGGAACAAGTGGATGACTATTTTATACGTTTCTTGAGCATGACTTTAAAAAATCTCAAATTTGTTGTACCGAATTAATATGCCCCAAACTCATGATCGGGGCCAGACGAACTGAAAAACAAGAGTTTGTTCTACCAAATTAATCTGCATCGATATCTTCTTTTACTTCAATACCCACAATCTATATATTTATCCAAATTTAACGCTCCTAAAGACCGCCATTTTCAACAAAAAGCCCACTTTTCACCCTTTAGTAATTGGATATAGATGTATCGGAACAAATTACCACATCTCAGGGCCCCTAACCCCTATGACCCATTTGTCATTCAATGCCCTATCCACCAAGAAGAACATTCAACCTAGAAGCGCGACTAAGGCCTACATCTAAAAAAAAAAAAAAATGTTTAGAATTAATCCCTTTTTATTTTTCATGTTTTTCAAGAAAGAAAAAATAAAAATATTCTCAAAACGGCGTTTGACGCAATAAAGATAAAAAATAGAAATGAAAATAATTTTTTAGTTTAGTTTAAAATGAGAGATAAATAAAAAATGACTTTTAATCGTTTTTTATTTTTTGTTTTCATTTTGTACTCTTTGGAGCAGAGAGAGAAAAAGAGACATTAATGAGTTTTTTACACTGAAAATAATATCTTAATAAAACTACTAAACGAATTTTTAAAAATAATTTCTGTCTGAAATTGAAAACGTTTTCATTTTCATACAAAAACTAAAATTATTTTCAAACGAGTTCTAAACGCGTCCTTAATTTCTATCTTCCTTAATAAAACCTAGATTTGTATAATCTAGATACGCCCAGCCCCCTTTCTTTCCATCCCCTATCCCCACCAAACTTGGATTTGTGATGGCTTCGGCTTCAATGGCAGAGTGAGCGGGTGGCGGCGGGATTTGAGCAGCAAAGTGTGAGGGCATGTACGATGGGGGTGGGGGGCTTGAATATGGATTTTTTTTTTCACTTCAAACTGGTCTTTTGGGGTTCTCGGTGAGAGACGAGGAAGAATATTTTCTTTCTTTTATTTTCAAAGATGAGATTTTGTTTTTGAAGAAAAATGATATTTTTCAAATGTTTTAAAGTTATGTTTTTAATCTCATTTTGTGTTTAGTTAATTAAAAAGGTATTTTGGACATCTTATATCTCAAAGTAATCAATATGATGGTGTTTTAAAATTTAAAGGTATCATTTTATTATTATAAAAAAGACAAGATGCTAACTCAATATTTTGTTATAATAAAAGACTCGTTTAGTTCGTTGATTTAAGTTTTTAATTTAAATTGAGATATAATTTTATGTGAGATTTTTTTACTATAAAAAGATTAAATGTAACTGTTTTTAAGAGTTTTTTACTATAACAAAATTCAAATTTTAAATTCGAATCGGTAAAATGAACAGAACTAAAGAATACCAAAATGATTTTATCCCTTTTAACAAATCTATATCTTGCGAAAACCAAAGGAAGTCGGATTTTACGAGGGAAAAAATTGAAGGAAAAAGAAAAAAAATAAAGCAGGGAAAAAAAGTAAAAATTTTCACTTTGTTTGGAACCTAGACTGAAAAAACCAGAGAAAACTTTGGCGACCAAGCTCCGGCATGATGGAAGACGAATGCAGCCGAGAAAGACGATCAGATGATACTAATAGATCTCCTCGCCGGAGAAGACAGATCACAGCCAAGGACGGCTGCCGCGGAAGAGAGGTGATAGAGAGGGAAGACGGGCGGAGGAGAGAGAAAGGGGCGGAGATTTAGAGAAGAGAGAGAGAGAGTTGTGCGAGAAAGAGAGAGAGAGAGAGTCGTGTGAGTGAGAGAATCGTGCAAGATAAAGGAGAGAGAGAATCTTGGGAGAAAGAGAAAGAAAAGAGGGAGAGAGAATTTAAGACTTTTGGTGAGAGAATTTTGATTTTCCATCCAATTTTGGGTGGAAAATGAAAATCCACATTTGTTATATAATTTTTAACTTAAAATTTTTCCACCAATTTTTCCTTACTATTTTTCTATTTCCTAACATGCAGAAGCTTAAGATCCAGTGATCCACTTTGGTTTTTACGTTTAAACATGTGATTTTTAATTTTAATATTTAAATTTTAAATTTTTTATCAGTTAAAAACACTTTAATAGATTTAAAATTATAAGTTTAAACATGTGATTTTTAATTTTAATATTTAAATTTTAAATTTTTTATCAGTTAAAAACACTTTAATAGATTTAAAATTATAAGTTTAAACGCAACAAACAAACGAGCCCTTAAAATCTCCTTATTATTTTTTTTCCTCCATAAAATCCAACTCCCAAATTGGCCCTTAATCTTCGCATTTTATCCCTTTAATTTGCTAAGTGTTTATAATGTGCTCCATTTTGACATTTTTTAGAATATGATATAGTAGTCGATTTGAGAGTCTCAAGTTGAGACCCGAGAAATTTGGTTTGTGGTGAGGCGGTCATCATTGGCCCTTCTGTTTGGTAATCCAACCGCGTTATGAGACCCATTAAGATAATTTTGTAATATAATCTCTCTCTCTCTCTCTCTCTCCTCTCTCTAAGCTAGAAGGCAAAAGCTGTGTACTATGTCCAAAAATGAGCCTCAAAGTTTTTTTTTTAATTTTTTTTTCTTTTCAATTGGATCTCAATGGAATCATGGGAACACAACTACAATTTGATAAGTCGAAAAGAATACCACATCAGAATGATGGTTTCCTAAACACTGATAAACTGTAGACTCATACTCCAATTGGAGATCAGAGAAACCATTCTACCAATTTCACATCACGCCCACCTTCGGGGAAATAAATAACGTTTCTCTTTCACGGTGTGTGTACAGTGATTGGCATCTTTAAGGTCAAAAGATGTGCTGCGATTTACATCTTCATAACTACGATGAATATAGGTAAATCAAAGATTTCGGTACATCAAAGTGTATAAAAGAAGAAAAGTTCGAGCATGATACCAATTTCATTTCTCTAAAAGGCATTACTCAGATCTGTTGTGGAAATTTCTGGCTGGAATTGGGACTCAACCTGAACTGATTGTGCATCATCACTTGGCGTTGGCGCTGAGGCTTGGATAATCTCTTGGGGCTGAAACTTGTTGATGTAATAACTTAGTGATGGCCCGTTGTATTCAGCAGTCTGCACCTGAGGCGGCGAGCTCCTACCGACTTGGAGGAGTATTGAGGAAGCCGCTGCAACAGAGATGAGACCGATGCCTGCAGCAATTGCGGCCGTGTTCTCAGATCCATCCGCAGAAGAGCCTGCAGTTCCAGAACTTAGTGCGCTTTCTGCCACGTAAACTGCAGGCTGGGAAATTTAGAGGTCATCATTAATAGTGTGCAACTGATTCTACAAGTTACCAAGCTCAAGTTTATAAAAACAAAGGAACGATGAGAAAGCAATATGAGAAAATCCATACGAGCAAGTAGTTGACTTTAGTCCAGTAGACGCTTTTGCCTTTACCTGCCATAGTCGCCTTTCAAGTTTTCACTCTTTTAGAATAACTTTTGATGGTCCTTTATGAGTTTCAAGGCTCTGTTAATCGAAATTTCCTTTATTAGAGCATTAACAGGTAGCTAGATCATTTCTCCATTATTTTAGTCTTGGTAGTATTTAAGACACGAACAGAATGGCCAAGGAATAATTATAACATTCAAGTAGTTACTGCAGAAATATGCTTTTTGAACCTTCTATAATCTTATTAACTGTACTTATGAGAGAGAACTCTCTCTCGTTTCGTAAATAAACCAAAAGAAACTGGGAACAATACCACAGTTGCACAGCCAAGAAAATATATGAAGAGGAACATTTTTGTAAGCCCTCCAAGAAGGGGGGGAAAAAAAAAATTCTAGCAAAAGGGCATAGAAGATTCACGCTGGAACAGTCCTAGGTTTTACTTTTACCTTTGAGATCATTAAAACAATCAAATAAATCCAGCTTCTGGTTCACAAGAACTAACAGACAAGGAATAACAGAATACACTACCAACTAAATCTATCATCTAAGAGGCTAGAAAAGTATACAACAAAGGAAGCTTTTTACTAAAACAACCAACAATGCAAAACAATAGTGGTACATTATTCTGAGAATTATATAAGAAACTATATGTATACATTATACAACAAACAAGCTTTTTACGCCTTGCCTCACAAAGGAAAAACGTCTCAATATGACTATGAAATTGGTTAAAGAAAGAATCACTTGGTAACCATCCAAGAACATCCATAAGAGAACATTTTGCTTAAGTACAGCCGAGTTATTGATACTAGATCGTCAATGCAGATCAAAATATGAAACTATGGGGGAAAGTGAAATTTTGAATTTTTGTGAGAGAAAACACTGTAACAATAGAGTGAAAAGAACAAGGCCTATATGTATACGGCAAGTAGTTGTAAAAAATCAGCAATTAAGCTAACTAACCTCAACTGAATATATGTTTGTTTGGCCAGCAGTGTCCTTCTCAACATATCCAGTCCAACCTCGCTTGCGCGGGGGATATGTGCCAACCACTTTGGTCTTCTCCCCTGCTAGCCATTCCACGCTGATCTTTCCAACCTATTTCAAACACCACAAAATCATTGTTTCACTTTTAAAGTTGTCGAATCCTTATATATTTCACTCACTTAAATAGGATGACAGAAAACCAGTATAAAAAAAAAAAAAATAGAAGAAGAAGAAGAGAAGAGAATCAGATTATATGATACAGCCACAAATTGTACATCAAGAAAACTGTAACATAATTAACAAGTAATGCTCCTCTGTCTCGATTCGTACAATGATTTGGAATGACCTCTGTAATGTGTTAGGCCAGCGCTGAGTAAAGTATATAAGAGGAGGGGCAATAGGGGCAGAAAAAAGAGAGTTCAGGGCTCGAACGTAATTAATGAAGAAAATAGTGGCTGAAGGGAGAGAGATTAGGGGCTGTTGAGAGAATCAGAGGGTTTAATATGGCAAAAGTGTTGCTGGTAGGATTTGGCTGGTTTTTGGTTGATTTTGCTTGGGGTAGAGTTTATTCATGGAGCTCTTCAGAGTCCTTGAATACTCCAGATTATCCTTTAATTTTTCCTGTTTTTGCTGTGCTTGTGTGCTTGTTGAGTGTGAAGTTAATCAATAAAATACTTCCGATTCCATTCCATTAATTTCTCTTGCTATTTTGCCGGAATTGAGACTTGTTTTAGGGTTGTTTGGCTTAGAGATGCAAGAATGGGCCGACCCGGCCCCTTCTCCTTAGGCTCACATGAGTCACAGGCTGGGCTGGGTCGGGCTGGCCCATATAAGAATGACCTCTGCCCAGCCCACATCACGGGTCAATTTACGTTGGCCAAGTTGGGCCGTGCCGCGGGCCAGAATAGGTCGTGCCATGGGCCTTAAATGAGCCCATTTTGACCCATCATAGGTTTTATAGACGGGCCAGCTCATCTAAGCATCCAATTTTTTATTTTTTATTTTAAATTTGTAAACAAATGAACAAATATATAAGTTTGAATAGTCAACGAAAATATGAAAAATAATATTTTATTTACGATTACCTCATTAAATAAAAATCTTTTTAAGAAAAACTCAATTGGACAAAATTTTAGTAAGGAAAAAAAAGTACAATAAAAAAAATTACACATAAGATGTTTACAAAATTACTAAAAAAAGAAAATATATATATTATGGGTCTAGATGGACTGGACTGGGCCAGACCATTATGGACTTAGATGGGCCGGGTTGGTCCGGCCCATCATGGGCCTAGATGAGCCAGCTCAGTCCGGCCTGGCCCATAATTTTTCATGGGTTGATGTATGTTGGTCTAACCCAGCCCACCAATATTTATAGACTGGGCTGTGCTTTGAACAGTAACAGGCCATACCGACTCGGCCCGTCACTGTATAGGATGGATTTGAGCCGGCCCACGGGCTCCGGCCCATTATTGCATCTCTAGTTTGGCTGAATTGGGGCAGATACCTAACATAATGACACTTAATCCTTGGCTGTCCAATTTTCCAATTGAAAATATGATTAATCCAAGTAAAAAACAGCTGATTATTCTATTGTTCATGACAAATTCCATAGGATTTTTTGCACGGAAACACATTGACAACTCAAACCCTGAAGTCTTACTCCTCATTTATTTCACCATTCAAGTTTTCAATTTCAATTTTTAAAAACTCACATCTAACTTTTTCTGTTATAATAAAAAATCTCACATCAAATCATATTTCAGTTTAAATTACAAACTTTAATTAAAAACTCAAATTAACTACTTGAATGAGGCCTTAATTTGGATAAATGTGATCCAATAACTGACGGGCGTCAATTCATAAAAGGAATATCTCGCAATTTTTCTACAAAATGCACCTGAAACTTTTCAGTTGATTGGTAAGTTGAATACGAAACTTTTAATTTTAGTAGTGCTCAATTCCATAAACCAACCACTTTCCATTTTGGCTAGAATCAAAGTTCGCAATTAGAAAAAAAATTATGAACTGCAGTATTTTGAAAATTGAAACATCCTGAAAACGTCTATAAAAAATTCAAAGCTACTCCAAGTGACCAAAACGAAAAAAATCTTTTTCCCTCCGTCAGTCAAACATTCGCTTATGCGATATAAATAGACATCTGTACAGACTCCATCTTCGGCATCACAACCACAAGGGAAAAAAAAGAGAGAAAAAAAAAAACGCGATTCGCAAAACACAGAAAACCCATTCCCTTAATTCCAAATCTTTAAAGCAACACACGCACAAATATATATATATATATATATAAATCCCACCACAGAGAGAGAGAGAATCACCTCCTTATCAGGAGCACATTCGTCGACATTGCAATCAGAATCATCAGATGAAGCTCTGACAGCGACAAACCTGGAGTTTTGATGAATTAGACCAACTCTGTGGGGCCTACTGAGGTTCAAGAAGCTTCTCTGAGTAGAGAATGCGTTTGTTGCCAGCATTGCCTTCGCCGCTGTGGTACTACACGCCATTCCTATTTGCTTGCAGAGAAGAGGGAAGAAGAAAAAAGGAAAATTTTAGAATTCTATTGTATAATACTTCATTGTAAATGGTCTGTGAAAGGATTTCAGGCGTGTTTGTGCTGTGGTGGAGATTTTTTTGGATTGGTGCGTTTTGAGATGGCTACGTGTCCATTTCTTCTGCTCTCGCCAAAATATCTTTCTGTGGAGTGTGGACGAAAGTCTCTAGAGACGTGTACCCCTTTTTTTTTCCAAAATTGTTGAAAAGTGAATTTATACAAAAATAAATTGTCAATTTAAGTTGATATGTGATTTTAATTATAATAAAAAAAATTAATTTAATTTTTTATAAAAAAATTTAACTGTAGTAATAATTATAATTTTATTTCAAGTAAAAAAGTGTTATTAGTAATTTGAGATTTTTAAGAGAAAATATTATATTAAAAAATTTAAGTTATAATTTGAGTAACGAAAAGAATTAACAATAATCACATATTTTTTAAAAGAAAAAACCTACGTAGTTTAAATGTGGTGCTAAACTTATTTCAAAATATGAACAATTTATTCATTTTTATGAGATTAAAATTTAATATTTCGTATGAAGTAAGTCTTATTAAATGAATATGTGAGATCTAACTTAATAGGATTCATCATTTTGTGAGTAATAAAATTTTATCCCAATAAGAATAAATATTTGTTTTTAGTATCCGAATACTAGGGGTAAGGCCCGTTTAGATCGTTGATTCGAGTTTTTAATTCGAGTTGAGATGTGACTTTATGTGAGAGTTTTTTCCTGTAGCAAAAAAATTAGATGTGACTGATTTTGAGAGCTTTTTACTGTAGCAAAACTCGAATTCTAAACTCGACTCAGTGAAATGAACGGAAAATAATTTTGAGGTGTTAATTTTCGGAATAACATTTTAGATCTATTGTGAGCTTACCACTTTATCAAGTGATCGACAGCAATATTTCAGGCGACTCAATGGCTAACTACTTAGTGTTGAAATGTAAGGAGACGTTTAGTTTATGAATTAGAATCATGAGATTAGAATCATTTTCAATTTACGTGTATTTTTTGTGAGAGAACACTGTAGCGAACCATGAACTATGATTTGAATCAGGGTACGAATCCCCTTACCCAACACACCCTAAAAGATTTAATTGACCGACTTGAAAATGATCACAAACAGACTTACTAAAAGAACAAGAATAACAGGCTAATTAACTACAGATAGTCATACCACTGATTAGCAATGACAGAAGGATTCGAAGTTAACTGAGGCCTCGTTTGTTGCGCATGATAGGATGATATAATTTTAGGATAATGGATTGGAATGTATAGAAAAGTATAAAATTTTGGTCAAATTGTAATTTTAAAACTTGTGGGACAAAAATAAATTCCAATCCATTACCCTAAAATAATTTTAAAAATTATGAGTCGCTATCAGTTTTCTTTTAAAAATGTTCACCAAACATAGTATTACAATTTAATTTTGTGCACCAAACAGGCCAAGGGAATTGGAAGAAAATAAAGAAAACTGATAGCGACTCACAAACTAGAAACAAATACAAATCTTTTATTATTATTATTGAGAAATGTTTAAAAAAATAGGCTTATTACATTAACACCCACTGTGTTTTATTCAAAGTACAGTAACACCCCATTGATAGAAATTAATCACGTCAACACCCATAAACTCTTTAAGAAGTTACATAGATTCTCCTTCTGTTAGTTGACCATGAGTTGACTGTTAAACTTTTAAAAAATGCGAAAAATACCCCTCCAAGTATTACAAAATGTTTCTAAGCTATATATAATATTCAAAGAGACGTTTTACCCTTATTTAGCATCAAAAAATGAGTTTATTTAATTTCACGCATTTGTAATTATAATGTTAACTCGAATAAAAATAAATATATATTTTTATTTTTTTTTTAAATCCTTTGTTTTGGTAATGTTTTCCATCCACTAAAATAACATATTAAATTAAAAAGCCATTTAATATTTAGTGCATCATTAGGGCCAATTAAACTAAATATTATAATGAAGTTAGTTTAATTAAATAATAAAGTAAATTGGACAATTTAATCCTAATAGTAAAACAAAATTGAAATTGAAATTAAACTTGAAACTTTAACGACAAAAAATATAAGGATTACAATACAAGAAATTAAACACATTAAAATTTTTAACATATTTTTATATTAACTTTTTTAAAAAAATACACACTAAAAATCAAATAAAAGAAAGAAAGAAAGCAAATATTAAAAGGGGTAATTTTGACATTTCTCACCTAAATTTAACATAGTTTAAGATAGGGGTGTTGATGTGATTAGTTTTGATTGAGAGTGTGTTAGTCTAATTTTAGTAAAACATAGAGAGTATTACTATAATAAGTCCTAAAAAAAGCCTAATCAGAATTATAATAATGGAAAGTAAAGCTAATAATTACGTACTACAAGCAACTAAGCAATTATAGATTCAAAAATTAACTCTATGGAAATAAAAGGTGAATCTAATTTCTTCTTCGACTCTTGGGTCGATGTCCTCATCGATTGGTCTATGACTAACCATTCGCATTTCTAGTCTCCTAAGGTCGTCGTATTCTTGCACTGCATATGAGTATGCAACCCTTGACTTGTACTAGTTGCACTTTATCTCTCCTACGTCGTTAGGAGTCGAGAACTTAATCTTCTGATAGTAGATGGATGTGACAGCTTTCAGCGCTCTAAGAGTTTGCCTTCCTATCACAGCGTTATACTGTGATGCTCCCTTTATTACCATGACATTTGCCATCACTGTGGCCTACCGGGGCTTCTCTCCCACTATAATGGGTAACTTAATCATGCCATGAGGATGATTAAATTTCTGGTAAACTCATACAAAGGTTGACTGGTTTTCTCCATATGCTCCTTTGAGACCCCCATCTTAGTCAGGCGATCGGAGTATAGAATATCCACCGATTTTCCATTATCCACCAAGATCCAACAGACTGTATGGTTGTCGATCATTGCCTTGACAACCAATGCATCATTTTATGGGAAGTGCACTTCATTTGCATCTTCTTCTGTAAAGATTATCTATGTACTATCTAGCTTTATAGCCTTTGACGGTCTAGTCCCGATCATTGCCTTGACAACCAATGCATCATTTTATGGGAAGTGCACTTCATTTGCATCTTCTTCTATAAAGATTATCTATGTACTATCTAGCTTTATAGCCTTTGACGGTCTAGTCAATGAGAGATTCCAAACCCTCGGCATAGTTCTTTTGGGATCTCTTTGAATCCCCCTCCTATGTACGGACCTCCATGAATCGTCTGTATAACCCTGACAGACTCACGGTCATGATCTCATCAGTTATCATCCCGCCGACGATTGTCGTTCCTATGTCCGCCTTGATGTCTCCTATCGGCTCTGAACTCTTAAAGTCAACCTTCACAGATAAGCCTTTCAATTTCATCCTTCATGTGCGTACAGTCGTTGGTGTTATGCCTAACTTCTTCATGGAACCAGCAATACTTGTTTTGGTTTCTTCTGTTTAGGTCTGACTTTATGGGGTTCCGGTCGGTATAACATGTTTCCTCTACCAACCTGGTTGTATATTTCCTCCACTCCAACGATTAGCTCATGATAAGTGTCATATCGTTGGAATGGACAAGGCCTTCTGTTGTCATCTTGGCTCAACTATTTTACTTTTGACTGATTTAAGGTCGAGGCTACCTATTTATCCCTATTTCCATTGCTTTGACGTTATGGCTATCCTGCTTCCCTGAGGTAGACACTTAATCTGCTCATTTATTATTGTTTGATCTATGCTCAGGGTCATTAGCCTCGGCCTCCCCTGTATCGATAAATCCTTGCGCCCTAGCCATAAATTCTCTATATGTAGAAGGCAACTTACGATTAAGGTCGCGCTTAAATGGGGTGCCCTTTTTCATATTGGAGAGGGCTCCCATTAAAGCCTCCTTATCAATCATATATATGATCACGACAACTGCTTCACCGAACCTTGCCGACCATTCCTTCAACGATTCTTTCAGCCTTTGATAGACCATCGCCAGATCTTATTTCGGTGGGACGTACTTCTTCACACAAATACATTGTAAGGAGAAAGCTTCCTTAAATTCGTCACAGCTTGAGATGGAGTTTGGCTTCAGCATTTCGAACCATCAGGGGGCTGAATCTGTCAAGTGGTTATGGAAGGCGCGTGACATAATTTCTTCAGAATAGTCGTACAGCAGCATGTGTCATGTATACATCAAACATGAATATATACAAGATAATACACATATATATATGAAATAAATAAATTTTATTGATGTCAAACTGTCATAAAGGCATTGTTATATTTATTTCTAAAGGCATAAACTCTAACACATAACATATTTGAGAAAAATTATTCTATTAGAACGCGTTTAAGTACATGAGATTAAAAGAGATAAATATACAAAAGTAAACATATTAAAAAATATATTTGAATAAAAACAAATCAAATAGAAATCGTATTAGGTGATAATTAATACAATAAGGACAACGATGCTATTTGGGGTATATATGAAAGAATAATATTTGAGAGTGTTGTAATAATAAAAAAAGAAGTTTAAAAAGTCAAGTACTTATAATGGCCATGTTTGAAGAAAATAATATTTTTATACTGCAATACAAAATATTTAAGTAATGAGCACATTTAACAAAAGACTTTTGAATAGAGTGTAATTGTAAAAACAAGAAATATATATATATATATTTAAATGAGGCACATTGATATGATGGATTTGTGCTTATAATTTGGTTTTCTCTAACTTGTTATTGTGTTAATTTTTAGTTAATTTTAAAGTTATTTAATTGTTTTTCATTTATTTAATTGGCATCGAAAGGAGGCTAAAAACAAGTTTTGGAGTTGAAAACCCCGAGATCAAAGCAACATGATGCTGCGCGCATAGCACCACGCCCCTACGGATAGAACTGTTCATAAACCTGCAAAACCCGCAAGCTCAACCCACCCCACCTCAACCTAACATGAAAAATACAATTTCTAGTAAAAAAAAAATTTATTTTGGCCCATTCAATGTTTGGCCCGAAGTTTTGGGGCAGGGTGTGGGTTGGACCTATAATGATCCGCACACCCCAACCTAACTTACGCTCTAACTTGCCTCCTCTAATATCTAATCTTAGGCAAACAATTCATTTCTACTCTCTAATTTCTTCATGTTTGAATTAAGTCTCTATATTTGTATTATGTTAAGACTAATTTATGAGTGTAGACTAATTTATGTTTGCTTTATGTTTGATGGACTATTTTGCTTCATGTTTGATGTTGGATTGAACTTTAAATTTTTATCTATTTGAATGTTGGAGTTATAATTTCTATTTGATGATGAACTTTAAATGTTAGATTGAACTCACCCCACACCATCCTAACTCAACCCAAACATTATTGGATTGTGAAATTTTTTTAATATTATTAAAACTAAATATGTGTAATCCGTATCTTTTAAAATAAAAAAAGAAAATCATATTCCGCACTGATCTAACCCATAAACAACTCTACCTACGGAAAAGCCAGCCATGCGATTTACACGTTTTGGGAATCGTGCTATTTAGTTCAATGCCGCGGCGCCCGTTAAGCAGGGCAGGCTGCCCAATTTGGGCGCCCTGGGCAGCACCTCGTCAAGCTCTCCAATTTGGGCTTTCTCAACTGCAGAATTTTTTTTTCAAAAATACTAGTACTTTTGAAAGACTATAAAATAAGACTTTGAGGGTTAGTTTCGCTTTCTGTACTTTTGACATTAGAGAAAAGGGGAGAAAGACGTAAGTATGGTGAAGAAGAAAAAGATTCATGTGAGAACGGAGTTTAATTTCAAATTCGATAAGTAGTTTTCTTCTTTTTAGTTCTTTTTTTGTTGAATTTCCTTTTCAGGATGTTTTTACTTTCAGTTATGCTCTAGATTTCTTTGCTACGGCTGCATGTGTAGCCAAGATGATTAATATTTGATTTCAGTTATTTTGTTTCAGTAAAGTAATTAATTAAGAGTTTATTGTTCATGATTGTTGTGTCTTCTTACAGTGTTTAATGTTTTTAATTATCTGGCCAATATTTGAATCGTTTAGAAGACCTAAACTGAAAAAATTCAATTATGAGATGTTTAGGAATAGCTTCTTGTGAGAGAAACGGTAAAGTGTGTGAGACATCTAGTGATAGTGATACAACTTGCGCAAACAATTAAGAGAACCATAGAGCGTAAAATTTTTTTAGGGTAGTGGAATTCACAACAAACGATAGTGGGTTCACACGCTATGAATTTATTTGATAGCATCCCCAGAAGAACTATTAAATAAATTAGAGTTATTCATTTTAACACATGAATAGTAAACAATGTTTAAATTACAAGACATAAATAAGAATTGTTTTGGTAAAACTTATGTGCTCTAATGTTTGCTTGTTATTGAATTTCTTTTAATTTACAACTTGTGCATTTAGTTTCTTTAATTTTTGCTATTTCAATTTGCTTTCAATTATTCATTTTTTATTATTATTTATCTATATAAAGTCAAAATTATTATAAGGTCAGTAATTATTAGACTAGTGCGCAAGGGAACGATACTCTACTTCTCATTATATTATTTGAGTGATTCGTATACTTACGAAAATTCGCATCACACATTTAAAAGCATAAGATTATTTAAAAAAAAAATAGATGTACCAAAAAACATGTTTTAATCAAAGCTTATATTTCAGTCGAATATTACAGGCATATAGAAAAATATACATATTTAGGGAAAAATATACATATTTAGGGAAAAATATTTTAATGAGGGCAAGATTAATTGGTACCAACACTTGATTTAAGAATTTTATAAGGAGGGAAGTCTTGGGTTCAAATATTGTGGGACGCGAAGAAATTAATGTGTCAGGGTCCCACAAGGTGAACTCTATAGAGGATTGAGGCGTTACAAAATCAAGGAAAACTTATTATGGCATACATGTGAGAAGAAAAAAAAAATTAACGTCGGAGTGCATTTGAAAAACAAAATTCAGCAGACTAATTAAGGAAAAGAGTATGAATATAGAGGTTACATTTGATATAATAATATATTACAGTATTCTTTTTTCATTACAGGATTGTAAGAGAAAGTAAATAAAATTTTAAGAGTAAAAGAAGCAAAACAACAAAGTTTAAAAAAAAAAAAAAGAACACGACAAAATAACTCGACGATTTTTTTGAACAGTGCCAAATGCAACTGTCATTTATAAGATAGTAATATATATATATATATATATATACGTATATGAGTGAGCGAGTAAGAGAAAGAAATAATAATAGGTTTGAGAAAAGTTGAACACAAAAGCTAAGAGAGAAAGTGATGTCAACATAAAAAAAAAAAAAAAAAATCACAAAAAAGGACAAAATAACTTGACCAATTTTTGAATAGTGAAAGAAGAGGAACTCTTTTATATATAATATAGTAATAAATATAATATATGTAGACTAAAATTCGTATTTTATTATCCCTCTCATAGTATTTTCTCATACCGTAACAATTTAAAAATGACGGTAATGTCTCTATCTAGAATTTTGGGATTTCTAATCTCATATCTTTGAAGACTGTCAAATTTAGATTCTTTCTACGTGCAGGGAAACTTTACGTTAATTTTTTATTTTTTTATAACCTTTGAAAATTTTAGGGTTTTACCGGTAGTCTCTTATAGTCTTTTAGCTTTTGTCATAACATAATAGAATTATTCTTACTTTTTGGACACCAAAAAATAAAGATAGTTCTAAGCAAACAAATTGATTATAGGTAAATTTCGTTGTACTATCTGTTATCTGATAATGTGAGTGTCACTTTTTAGTGGTTTACAAAAATTTTATGAAAATTTTTATTTGTACTCGATCAATACTTATACACTTTCATATCCGAAATAGTTTCAGAAACTAACACATATTTTGGTCTAATCTACTCAAATTTTGACATATAACTCGTTATACTCATAATATACTATCATTAAAAAAATTTGAAATTTTGTCCCTAATAATATCTTACATTTTCACGTTTTTGCCCCAAAACCTATAAATTTTTGCATCTTAATTCACTTATGTTTTTCCTTAAAAAATTTTTCATTTCCATGAGGGTAACCTTTAGTGCGAAAACTTGAGTTATTTGTCAAAATCAAAAGGATTTGAGCTATAGGTTTAAACATTTTACACGTTCACAAATATGTTTTAAAACGAGACTTAAGCTGAAAGTTCTTAAATAAACACTATAACTTACATATTAGTGTGATAATAATTAACAGAGAAAGGCCTATGCATATATATATAGACAAATCCGAAAGCAATTTTAACAAAATACTAAAGCAAATCTAATTCCTAATAATCAGTGAATTCCAATAGTACCTAAATAATCCTAGTAGAAAAATATGACCATCTAAAGGTTAAATAAATCTAAATAATTTTATAGATAAACACAAATTTTAAATTTCTATTATCCTTTTTCCTTATGAAAGAGTTGATGAATTTCTTAAATGTGAGATTTTTTTTTTTGAATTCCTTATATCTTATCAAAACTGTTATAAAATATTTTATGTTTGGTTGGAGGATTCGAACCATGATTTGAATTATGGTTCATGGTTCGCTACAGTATTTTCTCTCATAAAATATACACGTAAATCGAAAATAATTCTAATAACATGATTCTAATCCATGAACTAAACGTCTCATTAAATAAAAGTTTTTGTTTCTAATGAATTAATCTAAGGGTACAAATGATGTTTTATGTCTTACAGATCAATTAAAAACTATCAAAATGAATTTTTTCTTATAAATATAAATGTATCTGTTTCTAATATTAGAAACACTTTATAGTTCAATTAACGAAGATTTCAAAATGATATTTTCCCTGCAGTTGAAATATAACCTCGCCCTTTACAATTATATCCTATTTTATTTTTTTATGCTTCATAAAAATATTATTGTAAAGAAGGCATTTCTTATTGTGAGATTCTAAAAAAAAATTTTATTGGTAGAAAATTTTTTTTTTAATTATTAAATTAAAATTCTAACGTTTAAATTTATGTAAATTTATATTAAAATTTATAACGCATTATATAAAATTATTCTGAATGCATCAGTAAAAAATTAATTTAACAGTAAAAAAAGAGATTGTATGGATAGAAGTTTCGTGAGATTCCACCTAAAAGTAACCCGGCAAAGCCGCCGAAGGCGGCGCCAAAAAAGCAGTGGGCTTTCTTTTTTTTTTGGTTTCCTTCCTTTCTTTCCACCCACCAAGTCCTGCATCGGCTTTTTCTGTATTTTTCCTTCAATTGGGTCCCACTCAAAAGCACTTTTTGACTCACTTTTGGCCTTTTTTTCAATTTCTGTTTCTTTTGTCATCTCCTTCCGATCTTCCGTCGTCCATACCCGTTGCTAGGAGGGCTAGATTTAAATTTTTAATTTGAATTAAAATATAATATTTTTTTAAAATTTTTTATTGTAAAAATTTATAATTAAAAATTTGAATTAAAAAAAATAAAGGAGCGGTGGTTCATCCCCAGTTTGCTGACTTGTTAGCCAAGTGGCACAACCCCACCACCTTCTACGTACTGATCCCATGAATACACAAATCAGGGATCAACAACATCCGACCCAGAAAAGGAAAAAGATAAAGACAGAGAAAATCAAAACAAATAAAAAGACTTCAAAAAGTTGAGAAAAAAAGATGGGGAAGAAAAAGAAAAGGTTGTCTTTTTATTCTCACTTTTGAAGGGAGAGGGAAAAATAAATAAATAAAAGTGGCCCTTTTGATGCTTAACGTTCTTGGTGCTTTTACCACGGAACATGACTTTTTGGGTACTTTCAGTTTTAGTTTAAGATTTGTCTTTGCCTTTCGGTAGAGGTTTATGGAAATGTGCTTCTTAGTTTGCCAAGCAATTATCATTACTTTCTAGTGAGGGAAAAAAAAAAAAAAAAAAAACACATTTGTTAGACGAGTTATGTCTGAGAATAATGACAAGTACAATATTAGTGAAAATGGCAATAATATGGATCAGGGTATCAAGCTCTTCGGAAGAACGATTCCCTTGTACGGTGTGCAGATTTCTTCGGCCAAGTCTGAGGTCAGTTAATATTGTTCGTATACAATTTGCTTTTCTATTTGAAATATGTTACCCTTCTGAGTTATTTGCGTTTTTCTACGGAATACCAAACTTGTTATTTTTCCTTATTTTTATCTAACTTGTTCTTATGGGGAAGGTTACAACTTTCTGGGTTTTTTTTTTTTTTTTTTTTTTTTTTGGTTTTTTTTTTTTTTTTTTTTTTTTTGGTCTTCGTCATTTATGTAATTTGTTTACGAGCTTCTTCTTCTCTTTTGGTTTCTTTAAAGGGGTTTTTCCACGTTTTTTTTTTTTGTTGCCTATCTTAAAGTTCGCGGAGAATCAATTATATTCTACTTTGAGATTCTTCATTGCATCATAAACGCGATAAGTTTAATGTTAAGGATGCCTTGCAAATGACCTCAAATATTATTCAGTTTTTTTCTTTGATGCAAACTAGTTTTGGGAGTGGATTTCTCTATAAGATGATTTATTTATTTGTTTGTTTTGAAAGGACTCTATCTGGGGATTTTACTAACTTTTTATTTGAAGTTACCACTTGGTGTGTTAACGTCAGAATACAGGAATAAGGGGTTATTTAGTTAAGGGATTCGTACTCCGATTCGAATTATGATTCATGATTCATTATAGTGTTTTTTCTCACAAAAAATACACGCAAATAAAAAATAATTCTAATCTTATAATTTTAATCCATAAACTAAACGTCTCTTTAAGTCACTTTGTTTCAGCTTATGAATAAACACATGCTTTAAGACAAGGATTACTTTTGTTTTAGCTCTGTTTTCTCTTTCTCCAAACAATCTTATTACTGCAGTTGAAATATAACCCCGCCCTTTACAATTATGTGCGTTTAAATTGTAGTTTAAATTGACGTTTGAATGTGTAGTTAAAGTTTTAATTTAAACAGTGCATAAAATTTGAATTTGTGTTTGGTATGTGCGAAAAGTATAGAGAGTAGACACTTTTTACTGTTTAAAAATAGTTTTAAACGATTGAATTTGATGGGGAAGCTAAACTCTAAGTCGGGTCGTTTTACTCAGTTTAAACGTAAAATATAATTTAAATTGCATGCTTATCAAATGTTAGTTTAAACTGTACTCACTGTTCAAATTAAGTTAAACTTAACTAAATTAATAAAACAAACAGGTGCTTTGTTTATTACAATTTCAAATAAATTCCAATAAGAACAGAAACAAAAATTGAACTGAAAGACTTTATTGATCTGAAAACTCAAGAAAGAGTACAAGTAAAGTTCAGTAATTCAAGAGATTAGACACTCTCCCCTGCTTGGTGACTCTCCAAGAGTTGTCCCACACAAATTCTAGTTACTTCCCTCCCTATCTCTCAGCTACCTTCTTCCTTTTTATTTCCCTCAATTTCTCTAACTAACCTCCTAACAACCTAAAGTCCCTAATAACTAACAACTTCCCCTCCTAACAACCCGAGCCTCATCCTCTTGTCAATAACACCTCACCCAACCCTCTTATTCCTCCTAATGAAAACTTACCTAATTAAAGGCTTATCATTTTCCTGTACTAGCAGTGGCGGAGCCACTTGAAGATGAACGGGAGCAGCCGTCCCCACTCAAAGTTTTTTTTTAAAAAAATATTACCTTTAAAAATTTTAAAATTTTACACTTAAGTTTTCATTAAAATAATATATTTTTTCACTAAAATAAATATATTTTCTTATATGTCTCCACTAAGATAATTTGTTAAAAAAAATTTAATATACGTTTTCACTGAAGTGAAAGACTGATTCCGTCACTGAGTACTAACATACTTGATGCTCTTTATCCTTATCTTATCCGTGCACTCTTCACAAGACAGAAATGCTAGATTATTATATCTAAAAGAAAAAGGAAGAAAAAGGTTTTTAATAATTTAAAACTTGATTGAGACAGCCATTAACATCGACTAATAAGGGCTTATAAGTCCGTTTTTCTGTTCTAACTTATTGTGCGTGACAAGTCATTCGTGATGTATATCATCTTTGGATAAATAAAATAGGTGATTATTCTGTTGTCGTTTTTAACCAACCGCCAATATGATTTTATTTTAAATTTCAGGATAGCTGCAGTGATGTAACAAAAGCAGAACTGGATAGCCTTAATGCAGAAAATTCAAGTGAGCAAGAGAGGTCGCATGGTTTTAGAGACAATAAAGATGAACACACAGAAACTAATAATAACTCAGAGCAAGAGAAAGTCTTCAAGAAACCAGATAAAATCCTTCCATGTCCAAGATGCAAAAGTTCAGACACAAAATTTTGTTACTTCAATAACTACAATGTCAACCAACCTAGGCATTTCTGCAAGAACTGCCAGAGGTTGTGGACAGCTGGTGGAACAATGAGAGATGTTCCGGTGGGTGCTGGGCGACGGAAGAACAAGCACTTAGCGTCTCACTTCCGACAGATGCTAGCATCGGGCGACAGAACACAGGCTGATAGATTAGAAACTACAAATTCAGGCCAATCCCAACTTCTGACTTATGATGAATCCTCTACAGGGAAAGTTTTAAGATTTGGTCCAGATCAAGCACCTCTATTTGAGCACAAGGAAACTATGCTAACTCTTGGCAATGCAAAGGGATTTATTGAGATGAATTCCGTCAATTATCCAGAAAAAGAACAGGATCCTCCACCAGCCCCATCTGCCTTAACACAATCTGGTTATGAGCGAAGCGAATTACATGAAAATCCGATGCAAGGATATGTTGATGAGCCAGCTTCTCGTCCGCTAGAATGCCAATCTATTCCTTCATTGGTTCTCTCTCGGAACCCTGGTTGGAATAATGCGAGTTCTGCTGTGAAATCGCACTATTCTCGGCACTTTGGTGCGTCGAATTCCAGTGCCTTAAACCAAGTTCAGTGGTTTCCCACCCATGTTTTAGCTGTACCAAGCTCTTTTCCATCAACCATTCCTTTGCAATTTGTTCCAGCTTCGTACTGGAGTTGTATTCCAGTATGGACTTCTCCAACAGGGAATATGTCACTGAGTGCAGGATCCTTTAGCTCCATGTCTCCATCTTCCTCCGCCATTAACAATCGCTACATGGGCAATATGTCACCAACCTTCGGCAAGCACTCCAGGGATTCTGAATCCATAGATAGCGAGCCTCCCGAAATGCGAGTTTCAGCCCCGAAAATACTGAAAATTGATGACCCGAATGAGCCTTTAAGGAATCCAATTCAGACCAGGTTCGGCATTAAGCTTGATGAGGATGATCTTGTTGTGAAAGGTAGTGTTCACAAAAAGTTAATACATAAGATTGAAGGAAAGGACCATGTACATTCCTCTCCAGTCATGACAGCAAATCCAGCAGCCATTTCTCGCTCTCATACATTCCGAGAAAGTGCCTGATTTAGCTCCCCTGTTGTAATATTTCTTTCTCGAATAAACATAATTAAATTGCATATATACTTGCCGTTTACACTTTGTAGTACACATTATCTTTATTGCTGCATAGAGATCCTGCATTCCTCTTGTCAGGAAATTTAATAGAACATTAAGCAACTTATTAGAACCTCAAAACGATAGCATAAATTTTATTAAAAAAAAATTAATAAAAGTGATAAGGATCACAATAAATAATAATTTACGTCCTTATTTTAGGCACAAATTAAAAAAAAAGTAAAAATAAATTTAGCGTTTAGTATTGTATTAGAGTTTGAATAAGTTTCGCAAAAACTATTTCAGTAAGTCTCCAATATTTGGATTGTTTCCATTATTTGTTAATTTCTCATTCTTCCCCATTAATAGGCTAAAAATTGTTTTTTACAATTCATACTTGATTAATGAGATTGAATTTCTATACTCCTTCTCCATTGTTCATCTTCTTCCATCTTTTTCTCTAATTTCTCTTATATTTCTTTCTTCATTGTTCTACATCAATTGGTAACAGAGGGCAGTTTGATTCCTGTGGCCTACATTGTTTACAATTTCTTTTAGCCCAAAAACTCTCAGAAATACTAAAAATTAAACCAAGTTGTGTGGCACCACCTTAAAGTATACCGTTGTTTTCCACCCTCACCTCAAACTGATGATCAAACGTTAGTTGTTAATTGTAACTATGGTGACGTACTTAGATGTTTGGTTGGTGTGAAATTTGGAATTGGGATCTAATTTTACCTACTAATGAGTTTGCTTTAACAAATAGGCCTTGTTCATTTCGCTGATTCGAGTTTAGAATTCGAGTTTTGCTACAGTAAAAAAGCTCTCACAAACAATCACATCTAATTTTTTTGCTACAATAAAAAGCTCTCACATAAAATTACATCTCAACTTGAATTAAAAACTCGAATCAGCGAACTAAACGGGCTATATATTAACCGCTTCCACCGGAAAAAAAAACCCTTGAAACTTGTTTACGGTCTTCCATCTCTACAATACATCCATCTACTTCCTTTGTGGCCTAATTACCATCCCTCTGCCTTGGTCCTTTGCTGATCACATTCATGACCTTCATGCTAAGATAAGATAGAAAATTGCTTTAAGTAATGAAAAATTAAAAATCTTTTGCTGATGCAAATCGTAACAAAGGAAATTCAAAGAGAGTGATTATGTTATGGTTCGCATTCGTTGACGGTGGAAATTCGTCAACTTGAATTACCCCTCATTACGGATCTCTCAACTTGAATTACCCCTCATTACGGATCTCTGAGATTTTCACTATATTCTCTGAAAGAGTACAAGAACACTTACGAATTCTGTAAGAGCAGAAAGTTGTGTGTGAAAAATAATGAGGGACATTGGTGTCTATTTATAGGCTTTCCTCATCAATTCAAATTGGACTGGGACTCGTGCGTTTAGTTGATGAATTTATGTCACGGTTCATATCATAGTTCGTGGTTTGTTATAGTGTTTTCTCTTACAAAAACACACGTAAATTTTAAATCATAATTCTAAATTTATGAACCAAACGTCTAAATATCCCTAACCCTAGGATTTATGATAAGCAATTATCCATTAATAATTTCTGGGATAAATAAACTCTGACATATTTATCTTCTTTATAGTCCTCGGATCATCTGGATATTTTGGCTTTATCTCGTCATTTGGGCCACCTGACGTGGACTTGTTCCTTGGAGTAGCTTCAACGCCTAAGCACAAGGTCGTAGCTTCTGGAAGCTTCAACTATAGTGTAATAATTGCTCCAGCTTGGAATAAAGGCGTTTCAAGCTTCTCATAGGTCGATGTTAACGTTCAACCCATCGAGCTGATGATATGGATTTCCCTTCTTTGTTAAGCTTCGCGATTGCGGTTCTAAAAGAGTGTAATGATGATGCTTCGTCAGGGATAAGCTTCCCAAGTAGTGGGAGAGTAATGTCGGTCATGTTAATAGACACGTCTTCCTAGTTGACGTTGCACGTGTCAGTCGAGGATTCTATCTCAGTCTTTGGACCCTGATCTTAGATTCCTGCACTTTTTCTAGCCGTTAGATGATGTCCTTTTATCTCCATTGATGGATGGGCGGTTTTCCATTCTAATGGTTGTGATTTGGTTTTCCATCTATAAATAGACTTAAAAGTGGATTATTAAACTATTTTATTTAAAAAATGTGCATGGTATCTTTCAAATTTCATCCTCAGAAAGCCGTAATTAAAGTTTGGCCTGTTTGATCATTGATTTCCTACTTAGAGGAGTTCAAATCATGCCACCAACCAAGTTTTGGAGTTCTTCAACCGGATTGTCAACAGATTTCTTTCATCCTTTTCAACGATTTTTGAATCTCTTTTTGTTGATTGTCTTCATTTTGCTTTCTTGTATGTTGCTTGTATTTCAGATGCGTTAGAAATGGCAAAATTTAATTTAACTGTGCACATAACTGGGTTTTAGTTCTGCTTCGTTTTTAAATAATGTTTGTGGATGTGGTTTTGGACTTGGTGAATGTGAGTCTTTAAGACCATCTCCAATATAAAATTAATATCAATTGTATATTTAACATTAAAAGATATGATATGATATGTTATTTTCATTTTTTTTAATGTATAATACTATTTAAAATGCTAAATTTTTTTTTTTTTTTCATAATCATTTAGCCTTGAAAGTTGTAAAAGTAAGCTTTTATTTTTAAAGTAATTAGAAAATGTAAAAGTTACAATGATTACATGAAAAAGTAAACATTTCAGCAAATAGTAATTAAATGCTAAATTTTCAATATGGTATACTTGGTGAGAAATTTGTTACAAAGTATAACATATGAGAAATTTGACACAACAACTAACATTACATTGGAGAGTGTTTTTTGCACTCAGAAACTAAATTTATAATTAGCACAACAATTATAACATTGCATTAGAGATACTCTAAGATTTTAGGTTTTTAACATTGCAAGTACAAGGGCCTGCTCTTTAAAGTTTCAAAACTTTCACCTTTTGATACATTATTTCGAGTTTCTCTAGCATGAATCTTGTTCTTATGGGTTTGATGCCTTAGGATCTTGCAGTGACCTCTTGACGTTTAGGGTTATCCATGAAAAATTTCATAATTTTATATTCAGTTTCCTTTTTAGAAAAATGTCCCCGAAAAAGGATAAGAGTCTAGAGCTTCCCAAAAGTGTACGACCAAAACCTTCCGAGAAGTTCGTATTGGTTTGGAAAATGATTTTCTATGCAAAAGCGTGTACTGGATCGTGTATAATAAAAATTTTAATAAACTTTTGACATACTCTATAGAACACATTAATTTATGCACGAATAAATTAATCAAGTTAATTTAAGAATAAATTTACCTGTCGAATGATTAGGCCATTAACTTAAGTGCTTTGACTACGAACGTTTCTCGCTCTAAGCTTGTTTGGAATATCCGAATCTTCCTGCTCAATTCTTTGAATCTATGAAGACGTGTGTGTGAGCACAGTTGAAGCAAAATGAGATTACCACTCAAAACACTCAAGTACTCCATGGACACCAACACATGTACGATGTGGAACTGTGACGAAAATTTTCCTTTTTTCTCACTCTATAAAACCGGCCACTTATTGCTAGGGATAACAAAAATTGTGTTTTTCAATTTTCTGCAATCTCCTATTTATAGAGTAGCTATCGAACTCCCAGAAGAAACCTAATCTTTATCTCTAAGATAAAGCTTGATAATTATCTATTGCTTCTAATTAATCTTGGAAACAAAATCCTCTTTCCTTTATCCTATTATGGTCGGCCATAACAGGAATATACCCCTTAGGGTTGGCATTTTCAGCAGATAATGGAAGGAGAAAAAATTTTCTTTATCTTAAGTCTAATTTTGACTCAAATTCAAATTCTAACTAAAGTCAAAGTTTAATCAATTTGAATTTTAATTGGATAACTTATCCAATAAGTCAATTGGATAACTTAGAGAACAAACAACTAAATCTTAATGGGATTTACACTAAAATTGGCGCCCACCACTTGTGATCAACATCACTTGTGTGTTCTAAAATTCAAATTAAATAATCACATTATTTAATATTTAATTAATTCTTAATTAATTAATTTTGAGTGTCTTATTTAGAATTTCATAATTCTAAAATTTTCATTTTGCCATGAATATCTTGTAGAATTATAAGGACGATACGGGAACTCATGGACCTATAGTTCCGAGCTCTAACAAAATTAATAATTAATTAAACTTCTTTAATTAATTCATTTATTATATTAATTCCAAATTTATTCCACTATAAACTTAGAATTGCACTCTCGCAATTATAGATATAATTTGCTTCCAAACTATAAAGTGTTCATTTGATATTGCCATTACATATAGATCAATCCTCCATAAATAATTCATAATTAGAGTTAGGTGAAATCCGTTAACCTCTCTAATTTCATCTTTATCGTTGAGTACATTGATTCTCCAATGGATAGTGATTCATAAAACAAATTCATGAATAAGAGCTTCTACTAATCTAAGTACTGAATCAACCCTCAAGAGAATTATTTATCTGTTTGTTTCTCAAGAAAGAATGGATTCTATGTGATGACCCTTACTTTTGGTTATCACTACTACGTTCATACTTAATTCATATCTTAACATATACAACTTTAAAACTATAAGACCTTATGATTCACACCCAAAAGTGATGGTCACAAGCGGTCAATTGTAGCACAGAAGGGCGGTCGTATCCACAGAGAGGTAACAAATAAACAAGAAAGATTAACAGAATAAAAGCGTATGAGAAAGATAAATAACAAGTGAATTAAAGAAAAAGAAGAGTTTTTAAGATTTTGTTGGAAATAAAATAAAAAGGAGGAAATTTGTGTGGAGAAATTCAGTAGTGTAAATGGTAAGGTGTCGAGAATTCCTAATGTCTCATTTACCAATTCAAGTTTTGATTCACAAAATAAAAGAATTGAATAAATTAAGTCTCTATATTAACTCCAAAAATATTATCATTACAAGTTATCTAAAATCGACAATCTATCAATTTGACAATATTGCAGTAAAAGACAATTTGTAAAATAATTTGAATAACAAGACAATGCGTGACAACATTACATAAGAAAAGCGTGACTG